ACAGTGGGGTCCAGCATAGTGCCGGTGGGACTGGCCTCGGGGGACACTGTAGGCCGCTTTAGGGGAAAGAGGACATAATGAACATGATTACAGACCCGACTCTAGGCTGGCCTGCACGCGAGCTTCGGGGACCCCGTGTGACCCTCTGCAGACCCAGTCTCCACCAAGGCCTTCCCACCCCCCGCTCTGTGTGGGCAGCCCTAGGCCTGGGTACGGGTCCTGCCCAGCAGCCAGTACCCAGGCCCGTCAGGGAAGAGCTCAGTTAGGCCAGGATAAGCTGGAGGAACAGTGTGACCTTTGCGATGTCCCCGAGCCCAGACAAAAGCCGCAGATTAGAATCTTGGCCACCAGGAGGAAACTGCCCCTGAATCTCATTATCGTCTTATAATTAGAGGGGCGGCTGAGAATTCGATGAGACAAAAAACCTGCTTTCACCTACATTTTTTTCCCTTTTCTAAAAATTCCAGACACAAGGGGAGAGCTGCCCGGACACATAGGTGCAGAGTCGCACGTCCGGGCACAGGGTCCGGGCGCCCTCCCCGCTGCCTCGGCAAGGGTGGGCTCCCCACCGCAGGAACCTGGGGGAGTCTGCGGGTGGGCTCCCCGCCTCTCGGGGCTGGAGGCAGGTCTGGGCATGGGGGCAGCGGGGCCATCTCCGACTCCGAGCACCTTCTCCGGCTTCATTCTCCTGACACGCCAAGCGGGACAAGAGCTGGCACCTGTCCCGAGGGGCGCCCGACCCCTCGCCATCAGGGCCCACGGCTGCTCCAGCCCCCTCTGGGCCTCAGTTCTCTCTAAGCCAGGACGCCAGGCCCCGGACAGCCAGGTGGTCCCATGGGCACGTTCTATCCAGCTCAGCCTGGCAGTTTGGGGGCAAAGCCGGGGCTGAGACCTCAGTGCATACAGCCCACCCTGCTCCCCGCCGCATGGACCCTCTGCAGGGCACGCCTCACCCCTGCTCCCCAGGCTGGCCAGGGTGAGACATCCCAAAGGCTTTGAGAGTGAGCAGAACTGGCCGCTAAACCCTGCAGGAGGAAGAGGTCCTCCACGGTGGCACAGGGGTGCCGAAGGGCCTGGGGGTCCCCGCCTGCCTCCTCTCCAGCCATCAGCAGCAGCAGGCCTCCCCAGGACAGGCTTACCCCCAGGGCCACAGCTCACAGTGCACAGGTGTCATTTTTCTCCCCTAAGAGGTGGGACCCAGCCAGGGCTTGCCCAGACACCGCAAAGCCTGTGGGCCCTGCCCAGGCTCCAGGGAAGGCTGTGACCCACAGGGCGTGGCGTGACCCCGGAAAGGCAGCTGGTCCTGCCTGGCATGGGTGTCCCTGTCTGGGGAACTCTCTCTCGCCCTCACCATCTATCAGAACACAGGAGCCCCTCCAGCAGCCCCCCAGTGGTAAAATACTGATTCTCTGTGCCAGGTTTGGGGACAGGGCTATTGAGTGGGAGGCAGTGAGGAAGACACAGCTGGGAGTCCCAGGGCACAGTTGGGCTGCATCCAGACTCCCCATCCAGCAGCTGCAGCCTATAGGCTCCCTGCACCCCTGGCTGCCCAGCAGGGGGGCAGGATGGTGGGCCTGGGGGAGGTATGC